CCTATATTACTCTATGGAGAGGACATATGAGAAATAAACAAAACAACAGACGACTTCAATCCTTTATCAATAATTGCCTCCGGACAATAAATGGTATCTTCTACCCAAAAATTATCTCAAACTCAAATATTTGGATAAAGGTTAAATCATATGCCAATAAACATAACGTTAAAAAAACGACGAATTTAGTTTCTAACCCACATAATAATAAGTGATACAATAGGGGTTCTTGAACTATATATGTGGTTTGGTCGATATACGAATGAGAATAATTTAATCTTTTATTTTCTTTAAACTTCAATAATCTATTTTGTATACATCAACTAGTCATATATATATATACTTGGTCAAATCAATTAATAATATGCTAAATTGACGTCTCAAAATAAAAAACATTTAAATGGACATGGAAAATCAAAATATAATATGACATTAACGCCTTTATAAACATTAAACTTTAAATTGAAATAAAACATTATTTTATAATATTTACAATCATGTAACATACACCACTTAAAATAAAAAAAAATATAAAAAAAACATGTATGAAGACGATGTTATCATGGAAAAATAACATTGAGATGTCCATATCTGGGAGAAAGAGTTAAATAACAATAATTAGTTTACCAAAAAATCAAATAAATTAGATGGGGAGTGGGGAGGGGTCAAACTAGCAATCCAATATTGTTTATATTCGTAATTATGCCCTTTAGAAATATATAAGAAAGGTATAATTTACACTATAAATGTGCAATAGTTATCCATAATAGTTATTTTTCGTAATTATACCCTTAACTTAGAAAGATATACATTACACTATATATGGGCTAATGGGGAGGATTAAAATAGCTATCCATAATATATTTTTTTTGTAATTATACCCTTGACTTAGAAATATATAAGAAAGGTATAATTTACACTATATATGTGCTAATGAGGAAGGGTCAAAAAATATATCCATAATAATTTCTTTGGTAATAATAGTGTTATCTAAGAAAGATATAAGAAAGGTATAAATTACATTATATATGGGCTAATTGATGTAATATAATAATATTTACCAATAAGGGTTTAAAATTTAATTATTATAATAAAACAGACCTGGTATGTATTACATTAAAATACTAATCATTGTTATTAAAAATTAAACTTATTAAATGTTACAAAAAGAAAAAATAAAAGCCTTTTTGATTGTATAAAAAATGTGATTACAAAATTTTCCATACATATGTGAATACAAAATTTTCCAAACAAGTGTTCATGTCTAAAATACCATTCAAATTTGAGGAAGAACAAACGAAAATTTTTTTTTAAAAAATATTTAGTTTGTCATCAATATATGTGGTTTAGTCGGTATACGAATGAGAATAATTTAATCTTTATTTTCTTTAAACTAATCTATTTTGTATACATCATCTAGTCATATATATATATACTTGGTCATAAAAATTAATATGTAATATGTTAAATTAACGCCTCAAAATAAAAATCATTTAAATAGACATGTAATATCAAAATATAATATGACATCAACACCTTTATAAACATTAAACTTTAAATTGAAATAAAACATTATTTTATAATATTTAATCATTTAACAATAAGAAACTCCGACCACAATCTAGTACACGATGCCATAACATGGCTTTATAACAAAGGAAAACTTTACATGAAATATAAATCATACTACAAAACTTGAAAAAATATGATGGAATTAAATATCAATATGAAACAATTTATATAACTAAATAACTGTAAGAAATCTATTTAAAAACTATTCAGCATCAAAAAGAGATATTTCAAATGAAAGTTTACAAACCAAAACTTCGTTCAATCAAAGAGCAAAAAATATGTTATATAGGAACAGTGGTGAAAGATAACGGTGGAGATTTTAATTTATAATAAATTTGTTTTAAAACTAAAATGTTACTTTCAAATATAAATATAAAATAAGGTATATATATATGTATTATAAAAAAAACAATTTAAACGAAATACATAGTTAAAGGCTATAATAACAATTTAAGTTAAATAAAAGTCAATCGATCAACATTCCCCTTCTTCTGAAGAGCATTCCCACAATCCATCTGAGCTGTCATAGCCAACTTGTAGTCCAAATGATTTATCATTTTGATTGTCAAGTTTGCATATGTCGTCTTAATCGTTGGCTTGTTTAAATCGTAAGCTTCATATCTCAGTGGTTATCATTATCAATTTTTTAAAATTGTTATTATCATTATTTGTTATTAAATATATACGAAGATTTTGAATGATTTTAGAATGTAGATATTATTGAATAACGTCGTTATAGAATAAGATTCGTCGAGTAAACCAAATAGAATTAATTTAACGAATAATGAATTTGATTAGGAATAATTTGAATCAGAATAAATTTATCAAAAATTGAATAGAAATAAAATAAATAATTGGTCGCGTTTTATTTTTTTTATATTATATATATTTTGCGTTTTAGATAATAGCGTTTTACGTTTCTCAATTTTGCGTTTTATATAATAGATTTCATAATATATCATTTATTTTTAATTCCGCGTTTTTTATAATATATAATTTTATCTTTATTTTTAATTACGCGTTTTTTTTAAAAAAAAAATCAATATTATATTATGTATTTTTTTTAATAAAAGATGATATATACGTCTGAACATCTATTTTTTTTTATAAAAGATGATATGTACATCTGTACATCGATCTCGCTCTTCAGAAATTTAAACTTTATGCCCTTTTTAATTTAAAAAGTATTTTGAAATAATAATTATTCATAAGATTGCTTTTAGTAAAAAATAATTTTTTGAGCCTCAAATTTTTAGAAAAAAATCTCTTCATCACATCCTTGAGTATTATTCTAGGATGAAGACGTTTAGTTTTTATATGACTTCTCTTAGTGATACTTTTAATTGTCTTTAAATTTATAAGTCTCAATTTTTTTTATCGCATTTAGTGTTACTTATAAGAGTTTTTTTAATTTTATTATTTCCTTTAATCTTTGTTTCATTGTTTTCTTTAATGTTTATTCCCTTATTTTCTATAATCACGAATATTTCAAATTTTATTATATAATTTATCTCTTTTAGTTTATAAGAATCTCTTTCATATTGAATATTTGGTCCTAATTCAATATTTTTCAATTTTTTGTTACTAAGAGATTTACAATTACAATGATAATTTCTTTTATTATAATGTGTTTATTTATTATATTTATTGTCTAATTTTCTATTTTCATAATGATTCTCATTATTAGATTTATTAAAATTTTTATTACGAACATTTTTCTTATCATGGGATTCACAGTTATGACCTCTAAAGTTAAAATTTCTGTAGTCTCTACAATTTCAATTTTCATAATATCTAAAATTATTATTTTTGCAATTTTTATTATAATTAATATCATATCTTCTAACAAAGTTTCGTCCAAAGTTATTTTTAAAATGCTCTTTAGATTTATAATCATTATAATTTCTTTTGTTATAATTATTATTTCCATTATTATTATAATAACCTTTGTCACTAGTATTATAATTTTTTTTAGACTGAATTTTTTCAATATGAAATCTATAATGATCCGGGAATTGAATTAAATATGGCCTATCTACATAATATTTTTTAATTATAGCTAAGAATTTATCTTTAGGCAATTCAGTTAATTCCCACATTTGGCCATAATCCCAGAAATCAAAAATACGAAAAATATCAATGGGTAGGTCATCAAGAAATTTAACTGTTAATTCATTATTAAGTAAATATTTTCTAAGGTTATCTAAGTAATCATATATGTCCATTATGACTGATTTTATTTTTAATTTATTAAGTTATTTTATACAACTCTTTAATAACTTCTTTCTTTTTTTTTACTTGGATTTAGAATATTTTGTAAATCCTCATTGGTTTTACTCTATAGAATTCATATTGTCTAACTATCATATTGGTTCTTGTAAGTTCATATACCCAATTTTAATAATCATTTCCATTTATAACAACTCCATTATCCATGATAAATTCGTCTAGTTTGATATTAAGTTTAGTAATTCTCATTCCCAGTTGAATCATCCATTTGATCATCATTTGGTACATTTCAGTGTCATAATTTTATGTGTGTCATTTATCGGCATATGCACAATATATATGAGATTTTTTTATATATCATTGTGAGTTATCATTCAGGGGCCGGGGCACCATGTTATATAGGTGATAACAGTGGTGAAAGATAAAGGTGGAGATTTTAATTTATAATAAATTTATTTTAAATCTAAAATGATTCAAATATAAATATAAAATAAGGAGGTATATATATTATATATATGTATTATAAAAAAAACAATTTAAACTAAATACATAGTTAAAGGCTATAATAACAATTTAAGTTAAATAAAAGTCAATCGTATTATTATCAAACTCTAGTCAATTTTACTTACTAAGACAAATTACTATAAAGATTTAGAATTCAAAAGATGCGATATGTATTCTTAATTTTCGTGATATTAATATATTAATTTTTTCAAGGTAATAAATAAGTTCTTCAATATGTAAAGTAATCAAATACAGGAATCTTCTCAGAACCAATTTGTAACTAGCACTTACATAATATCTTAAAACTAAAATTTATTAGCCCCCCCCCCCCTACTTAAAGAATTAAATTATCTGTAGTTCTCGGGTATAGGCTCTTTTTTTTGCCCCACTCCTTTTTATTAAGCTTATAGACGCTTAAGCAACATTTTTCGAAATGTTGCTCATACAAGTACGTGCGGATTGCCCTGCCCACAAACATATGAAGGGCTCCTCATATTTTTACTTTTAAATCCAAATTAATTTAGTTCCAATTAGTTGGAAATGAGGAAAACCAAGCGTGGCTCTGTTTAACTTTCAACGCTAGAGAGCAAAAACATTATATATCATGTATCAGGTATGACAATTAAATGTCCTTGTTCTCCACTTAAAAATTTTATAATAATTTACGACTGTCATGGTTTAGTTCTGCTCACACATTCATAAAGTCATATGTACAAATATTTTTTTAGAAAAATCCTTAAATGGCTAAATTATATAAACTCAAAAGTAATTGAGCACATTTTATTGATTAAAGGCAAAATTTTTATATCTAATTTTAAAGTTGTATTTTTTATCTTATAATTACAATGAAGGGTGGATTATTTCAAAACATGTTATTTTATAAAATACTATTATACTATTCTTTTTGTAATTGAGAACTATTTCTAGGGTTATTGTTATATTTGGACTATAAATATGTCATCCTTTCCAACTAATATTACCCACAATCTGCATACCTTGGCAGAAGCAAAAAATAAATATAAAAAGCTTGGCAACCTTGTATTCTCTTTGATTACAACATCCACCCATGGGCAATTTGTCATGCCTATCACAGTTGCCTTTTAAATAATTTAGCTCATGAAATAAATATACAAATACTTGAATCTAGGGAACCTTATTTATACAGATTATACTATAATTTTTAAATTTGACTTGTTTTTTTTTGTGGGCACATTTTTGTTTACTATCTTTTTAATTAGTATGTTTTTTTTTAAAATCATATTTTTTATTTTATAAATGTTTTATTTGTTTTATATAAATGGATTTGTTTTTTATATAAAAAAATGTCAAAAAATGTACAAATTTTTTTAAAATTTAAACCTAAATATATGGTATTTATTATAAAATAATATATGTATTAAAAATTATATCAATCACTTTATTATCTTATTTTTAAATATTAAATTCAATATAGAAAATGGATTATGGTTTGGTTTAGGATCATCAACAACAATATTAACTGCATTTCTTTTATACAAGTAGTTATTTTAATATTTTTCAAATTAATAATGCATTACAATAGGAACAACAAATGGATATCTAGTCATATAACTATGTCACAATCTAATGATGATAACCCAAAACCAGTTCATAATAGTGAAATGAATGCAGATACTTACTCTCTCAATTTTAAAATATTCTTAAAAGGTAGATTATATATTCTTTCAAAAATAGTTTTATTTCTTGAATTAGAATTATATGCTATCTTACAGACCTATATTTTAACACTTTAAAGTGTTGATAAATGGCACTTTTGAAATAGCACGCTGCCATCAATGCTATTTGGCAAAGAATGGAGCATGCTATTAGTTACTTTTCATTATTTTGTAAAATAAATTTTTTAATATAATATCCATAAAATTAACATCTCAAATTCAAACTTGTAAAAATAATATGCACTATTTATTTTATATATTATTAACAGTCTAAGGTTAATAAGGAAGTATAAGGTTTACCTTGCTAAATAATTGTGCAACAGTAGCACTTGAGTATAATGCAGTATTTAATTTTCTAAAATCTTTTAAAAAAATTATCAGGAATATTCATTTGGGTATTTTTAGATTTAAAATGCATCAAGAGGATTTATTAGCTAATGTATACTGATTGGATTTTAGATTAGTCAATGTTACCGGTAGCCTATTTAGCTTCTCTTTGTATCCAATAAGTTAATATAAGATCAAAACATAAATATTTAATTGAATCTTCACAAGTCCCAAAAATCATATGTGTAAGAGTCATTTGATAGGTTTTATATTAAAGACTCTTTCATTTCTTAAAAATATCTAAAATTCTTGAGATCACTTCTACCCAGGATATCTTGTTACAAAGTGATAATATAATCAGATTGATAAATAAGGAATTATCGATGGCTGAACTGTATCAATGCAAAATTAGTTATGACTTTATGAGCTAATTTATTGAGAAATACCCAGTTTTTGTATTTTAAGTATTGAATTACTCTTGTTTAGCCTTAATTATTAGTATACTACTCATTTATATATATATATTGGTATAAGGTTATTATATTATCAATATTTTTTAAATTTTCATTCTCGGCGGTTAGTATTGTTATATACCTAAAAACTTTAAACAAAACCACTCAGCTAAGCTAACATCTAGGTTTAAGACAATTTTTTAGACTAAAAACTTGACCACCTTTATTAGAGTTGGCCAGTGTTAGGCGACTTAAACCTATACTACCCACGGATAAAGATCAATAGTCAATATCTACTAGAATCTGGTCAGTTTTGATTGTTTTTTTTGGGATGTGCGTAGTGTTGTTAAAAAGCCCGATTCAGGTCGATTTAAAAAACGGCCCGATTAAGATTATAACCAAAATAACATTACATAAGCCTAAAGAGTTTAGTTATAGCTGATAGAAATGCTCGTACATACATCTATTTGCCAAATCTCTAACCTCACATAATAATATTTTAGCTAAAATCTTAACCGGGCCGTTTTGAAAAAATCGATCCAAATAGAGTTTTTTAACAACACTAGATGTGGGGGAGGGGGGCTAGGCTGGAAGTTGGCAGTACGAAAGTAAGCACCTTCTTTTCTCTTCTCTTTTTTTCTTTTCTTTTCTTTTCTCTTCTCTTCTCTTCTCTTCTCTTCTCTTCTCTTCTCTTCTCTTCTCTTCTCTTCTCTTCTTCTTCTCTTCTTCTTCTTCTTCTCTTCTCTTCTCTTCTCTCTCTCTTCTCTTCTTCTTCTCTCTCTCTTCTCTTCTCTTCTCTTCTCTTCTCTTCTCTTCTCTTCTCTTCTCTTCTCTTCTCTTCTCTTCTCTCTTCTCTTCTTCTTCTCTTCTCTTCTCTTCTCTTCTCTTCTCTTCTCTTCTCTTCTCTCTCTCTTCTCTTCTCTTCTTCTTCTCTTCTCTTCTCTTCTCTTCTCTTCTCTTCTCTTCCCTTCCCTTCCCTTCCCTTCCCTTCCCTTCCCTTCCTTCCCTTCCTTCCCTTCCCTTCTCTTCCCTTCCCTTCCCTTCCCTTCCCTTCCCTTCCCTTCCCTTCCCTTCCTTCCCTTCCCTTCCCTTCCCTTCCCTTCCCTTCCCTTCCCTTCCCTTCCTTCCCTTCCCTTCCTTCTCTTCCTTCCCTTCCCTTCCCTTCCCTTCCTTCCTTCCCTTCCCTTCCCTTCCCTTCCCTTCCCTTCCCTTCCCTTCCCTTCCCTTCCCTTCCCTTCCCTTCCCTTCCCTTCCACCATTATTTAGTGCTTAAAGTTTTAAATTCCGTAATTAATTTGGTTAAAACCCATATTAAAAGTCACAAGTAATTACTTTTCCACTTAGCCTATCAATTGTTTCCGAACATCATCTACAAAATTTGAGTAATAAAAAGTTTTAGAAACTTATAAGTTGTCTAAAATACATCAATGAATAACTATAACAAAGTTACAAAAGATTATTTCTACTAATGCCTAATGTGTCCATTGGACCCCATTCCTTATAAGTGTAAAATTTTTATCGGTGAGAAAAGGTAGATTTCATACCGTAACAAAAAACAGATGCATTTCCGATTCACTCATCAAATTTATGATTAGATTGATGAATCATAACTAATCAATATAAAAATACATGTCTGATGCACTCATCAAATATTTTATTGTATATAACTAAGCATATCATATCACATCTTCTTGGAATGCCATTTCTTTTGCATACCACGAATTTAAAAACTCGTTATTAACTTCCCAAGTTCCATCTATTCGTTTTGAATAACATATATAATGTCCTATCCCCGTGGACACAGCAGGTGGTATAAAAATAATTGCTGCTCTTAAAAAAAATTATAATTTATCCTACCTTTACTCATTTAAAATATCATCATTTGTGATTTTTATTAAAAACCCATATTTGTTCTTCTCAATTTATTCGTAATTTGTTCGAATCGATTTTTGATAGATAATAAATGGAATTTAGCTCACCTTTTTTCGGTTAATAATATGATTTATTGAATATAATAATTATGCATATAGGGGGAAAAAAGCGAAAAAGGGGGTAGGGGAGGGGGGACCGGGCAAAAAGTATTGAAGTTAAAATTAATCATCTTGTGGGAAGAGGCTGCCTCTGAAGCTAACGTAATTAGCAAAACAAAAAATAATTTTTAAATTTATTTTCATAAGATAATAATACGCCAACTCGCGGATTTAATATTATTGAAATTTAAAATGTAAATTTTATAATTATTTTTTAAATTCTGTATTTATATAAATCCTTATTTCGCCATAGGGTTTTCCTATTACTTGGGATAATATCATTATCATAATTTTCCAGTTCCAACCCAATATCTGGTAAAATATCATTCATATTTAGACCAACTACTGTGGCATTTTCAAAGTCATCATCCTTCTCAATATCTACATCAGATAGATATATCTCCCTCTACTATAATAGATGTTGAGGTCATCTAAAAATTATTTATAAAATTTTTAAAAAAAATATAAAATAAAATTTTCACTTTCTTAACTTTTTGAAAGTATTATATTTTTCAATATTTAATTTTAAAAAATTTATGGAAAAAATTACATAAGAAAATCCCAATGTTACCAATTTCGATTTTCTGTAAAAAATCATATAAAAAATAGTTATTGTTAATTTTTTTTTTTTTACTAAACATGAAATACTAGTAATAATCTATAATAAAAATATTATTTACCTTTGATTTTTATATATTTATATAAAATGGTAATCGATGTAAAAGTGTAAAAATTTTGGCGCCTAAAATACCTAACTTTAAACTTATATTCGGTGATACGTGATATATAGCGCATCGCCCTCTATCGTTGAATACACAACAGAGCTACGCTAGGTTTTTCTCATTTCCATCTAATTGGAACAATTTAATTTGGGTATAAAAGTAAAAATATGAGGAGCCCTCTACACGTTTGTGGGCAAGCCGCACGTACTTGTAGGCACAACATTTCGAAAAATGTTGCTTAAACCTCTATAGGCTTTAATTTAAAAGGAGTGGGACAAAGAAAAAGCCTATACCCGAGAACTACAGTATAATTTAATTACTTTAAAGGTGGGTGATGGCTGATTTTAAGCTTAATTTCTTTAGTGTAAGTTATAATTACTATCAATATTGAGATATAATGTTCAATGATTCAAAAAAAAAATAAAATAAAATAATGATTTTGACAGGTTAATGATAAAATATGAAAGAATAAATATTGTTTTGTAAATTAATGTGTCTAAATAGCAACCATTCGTTTTTTAAATATAAAAATTAATTGATTAAAAATTTTGATGACAAATGATCTCGCTGGGCGCTAAAAGGTTAATATAATTAATATTTTAAAACTGCCCCCTTTGGGAGGTTTTTTAATTAGTTTTCTTACCTCTGAAGGGAATCAGGAATTTTGGATTATTGGTATTTTTACGATTGATTTCCTAAGACGATTGATTTCTCAGGAATTACCCAAAAAATAAAATAAATATCAATACACAAATTTTATTATATCTTTTATTTTCTAATAAGCAATCATATTTAATATTTTACAACATCAATTTTATTTAATACAAAATAATAATAAAATTCAATAATAATATATCATAAAAATTTAAGTTCAATTATTATTTATGCTTTAATTATTTTATTTTAAAATTTACATGCAAATTACAACAAAATAAATTTATTTTCCAAGAATTAAAAAAAAATATAATATTTAAAAGTAAAAAAGTGAAAAAGTATTATTTTTATAAACAAAATAAAATTTTTTTTATAAAACTAAAAAATAAAATGATTGACCATTCTTATATATGTCTTATGGGGATTCGGAATCTGTGGGGATTTTTAATCTATTGATTTTAAATCCTTTACCGAATCCGATTTTTAACCGGAAATGTATTCTAGCATGTGTACTCTATAAATTTCAGCCTTAGACATTTTAGCATTTTTTTAAATTTATATGAAAAATCCATATAAAAATTAATGTAAATTAGAAGTAGTTTCTAAAGTTCCTGGCAAAATTGACTGAAATTTAAAGGGTAAATACTCTACACATGCTAGAATACATTTCAGTTTAAATTGGATTTTAATTTTTTTTTGAATCGCCCTCAGTAAAGGATTTAAAATCGAGAGATTCCGAAGTTTTTATCTTTATGACTCTTTTTTTTTCTTTCTTTCTTTATTTTGTTTTCACCTTGTTTTTCTTTATTCAAAAAAATTTTGAAGACAAAAATAATGATTTTGGAAAGCAAAAACAAATGCGTTGTCAGTTCACAAAATTGAGGCTTCAATGTATTAATAGTCGATGTAATAATATTTACAAAAAATTAAGTTTCAATGTGTGAAACGTTATTTTTTTTAAAAAAAATTCAAGTACGATTTGTGAAAATATGTAAAATCTAATTTTTTAAAATTTTATCTTTTATGAAACTTTGCAATATAAATGTAATTATTAACCTCAAGAAGTATTTATTCAACAAAATATCCAATTATGCATTTATTCAACAAATTAGTCCTGGATTATTCTTTCTATCTAAATATGTAAAAATGTTATTATCAACTCAAGATTGAATTTATTCTACAAAATATTCTGATATAATTTATTTAATCGAGATAAGCTTGGGATCATTCTTACATCTATGTATGAAATTAAATCTATATCATTAATTTATGATTTATTATATCTATATATATGTAACATGTAAATATTAACCCATTATTTGTTTATTTTTGTTCTTTTTTCGCAAATAACCTTTTTATTCTTAAATTCGGCTACAAAAGTGATTGAAGCACCAAAGAATGATATATATTTCGTTAATAGTGCTTTCAATCGACTTTTAAGCTTTGGTACTTTTTTTTGCTTATATTTCCCCTTAAATTCGGTTACATACGGATTGAAGCACTAAAAAATGACATGATTTATCGTTGGTGCTTCCAATCGTTCGGCCAACTTCACGGAGCTTACATTTTGTCAAAATAAATTAATATATTTTAAAATTCTTGCAATAAAGACGCCAATATATATTTTTATTTGTATATTAAAATTTTCTATATTTAAATAAATTCGGTCGGGCCGAGTTAAGCGGACAAATAATTTTTTTCGGGTCGGGCTTTTCGGGAAAGATAAAAAAAATATTTGCTGAATCGGGCCGGGCAGAATTAATCTTTTTAAAAAAAATTTTGGGCCGGGCTTGAAAAATTAGGCCCGGTGCAGATCATTACATCATTTACTATTCTTTTTATTCACACTTTATTCATAATCCCTCTTTTTCTTCTGTTTACAGTGAAAGATGATATCAATACAGCTTATGAAAAATCGAGGTCTTTTTACAAAGAGTGTACTATGGAGAATATCAAGGAAACCATGAAATTTTATAACCCTATAGGTATATAATATATATATATATATATGTATATATTAATCAAAGATTTGTAATTTATTTTTTTTTAAACTTTATTTTTTTTCTTATATATATATTTGACATTTCGCATTGCGTCAATTAATATCAGTTTAAATGGCAAAGTTTATGTCATTAATAATCTAATAACCAGAGAATTTAAATAACGGATTAACATAAAAATTTAAGAAATTTTATTCATTATATATATTTTTTTGGTTTCATTCTTTTGTTTTGTCACTTTTAAGTGACCAACTAAGGATGCATCGTTATCCACCAATTCTTCAATTGTTTCATAAAAATTACCAATTTAATGTCGTAGGCCCTCATCTGACATAATTTCTGTGTTATAAATATTTCATCGATAGCCTGCCTAATCCCTATTTCGCAATATCTCTGTGTCATAAATATTACCAATTTGATGTCATAAAGACTTAACATAATCTATTCGTCTTGACCAGCGAATATTTACGTCAAGGTTTTAAGCTTTTAACCTTGTAATCACATTTTGCTGGAAATGTAATTCCAACATGTTTGGAATATCTACCCTATGAATTTTAGACAATTTACCGTGAACTTTTGAACTTAATATAAATTTATGTTAAGTTTTTCCATAGATTTTCTATATAAATTATAAATGAATTGAACTCAAAGGTTCAACGACAAAATTGTCTACAATTCATTATGAATACATTTTCGGTAAAATCAGATTTAAAAAATAATAATAAAAATACATTGCGGCTAACATATTCATATAAATACTTCAGAATGTAGTATAATATTCAAAATAATTTTTGAAATATAAATGCTTGCACTTGCACACTACCTTAATACATGAATCATAATTCATAGCCTTTCCTTTTATCCATGTTCTTTTTTAGATATTACCCCATAAGAATACATCTATTATAAATAAATTCGTTTTTCTGGATACCACTTAAAGGTAGAATGGTAGCTTGGATCCACTCGAGAAGCACTAACCCACTGATAATATTAGAACTATGCAGAAGTAAGGACCCTATCATCAGAGAGATTGGGATCAAAACACTGGCCGAGATGAACGACGAATGGGGAGGTTTGAAAAAAAATAAAAACGAATTATTTTTGATATTTATTTCTGTTTAGCATAGGCTAAGCAGCTTTAGAACTAGGATACCCTATTTTAGTTTGTTTTAAGTGTTTGGTGGCATTGCAATTTTTGTATCTTTTAATTTTTAGGCTGGATAGGGAAAGCTATATAATTGGCTAAAACAGCCTGCTCTTTATTAATAAGTACCACCAGGACAGGCCCTTGATGAGAGAGTGTTGGTTAACTTCACAATCATGCAGGTTTGGTTGTAAAGTCTCAAAGGAAATTTGGAGGGCACCTCTAGGAAAAGAATGAGAAAGGAATAGAAAGTGCAGTAATCATTCGTTTCTAATAACTTTTCCTTAGATGAAAAGATGAAAATGAAATATTTTATATTTATGGGGAAGACTGGCAATATAGCACGATCAGGCAGGCCTTAGATTTTAGAGCCATGATCACCTTAGCAAAGTATTCAGAATACACCGACCTCAGGCTATTCCCACAACCTCCCATGTTACCCAAAGTCGTATCATCCAAAGACGAAAATGTAAATCTGGCCAATCTTTTGGGAGGTTTGTAATGTTTACTTCATAATAAAATTTTTTGAAGAATTTGTTAAAAAACAAGGAAACAAGAGAAAGAAATATAAATTATATCAGCTAATTAAATTCAATATTTTAAAAATAAAATCTTTTTTTAAAATTTTTTTTACAATGATATCGCAAGTATTTCCACCTCCCAATTCCGACAAGTGCTTAGGAGTGTTTAACAACTATTCCCTCTTCCAAGGTAATTCGGCTGATTTTCTTTACCACGATTCCGCCGCGTTCGATTCTGAGTTGGTGAAAGAGGATATCGATTCTATCATCGACATGAATGCCAAGAGGCTTTCCGCCCTCCTCATACATACCTCCTCTTATCCATTAAGTAAAATTTAATGCGTCATTTTATTTCTCTCATTTCATTCTTCCCTCCTCCCACATTTTCATTCATTCCAAACTTTTAGCATTTTTAAATAGTCGTTTTTACTAGCAGCTACTTACGCGAAAAGCGATAACTCGACCTAGAATCCATTGAGCTCTTGTTGCCCCATCTTTGTCTATACTACATTTTTTTAACCTTTTAGTTCAGTTAGTTATGTCCTTCGATTTTCTATTCTTATGGTTGTTATCTTTAACCCGCGTATCGCTTCATTTTATGGTCATCAATTATGAATTGTATTAAGCTGGGGCCTTATATTTTATAAGAAATTCTACTAGAGACTACCAAAAATAATCCTGACCGAGCCCTCTAGAAGCTCGATAGTAATTTTATTGGTGCATAAGTTCGGCGCGGTTCGTAGCCCGACCCTGTGGGATTCTAATTCTCGTAACGTTCATGTCACAATTATAAAAAATTTTAACATATCTCTTTTTTCTCTTTTATTAGCTTTATATTATAGAAGTCAGCTAATCGCAAAATTTTTAAGCTCGGCCCTGTCCTACCCCGGTTCCAATTTTTTTTTTACAAACCAGCCTTGTTTTTAAAATATAATATGATTTTCTTATTATAGCAATATAACACGAGAGGTAGGAAAAAAGAAATCGTATTTGTAAATGATTAATCATAGTAATATGTATTTTAACAGATACCATGTAATCATTTTTTTTCTACTTTATTAACCGCGCTAGACATCTCTACTCCCTCGACGCGGGCTAAAAAAATCCGACGTTACCTAATCCAGCCCACGGGCTGTGTATCGGGCCTGCCATTGTAGATCTCTAATATATTGTAGGGTCTGGGATTGGGTAGAGAATTTAATCGTTACATTGACCAAATCGACAGATTCTAACTAAATCCTCTAAATATTAATTTTGCCTCTTTGGCATTATTTTTTAACCAACATTAGTTGACAGAGAAAAAAAAAGGAGAAGTTTTCTTAAATAAAATGATTAAAGAATTTAAAAAATGGCCGAACAAAAAGATGATATAAATGTTTATTTTTTTTACATAATTTTTACCGCCATTTTTATAAGCTTATTAAAGTTTATAACAAATATTAGCGAACCATGTAATTTAGAATATATATATTTTTTTAAAAAAAACCAGAATTTAAATTTGAAAAAATACTTGAAAATATTTGCATTTTCACTGCAAATTTGTTGGATATCTTTAATATATAAAATTCGCTAATTTTTTGTTAAACATTAATAAAATATGGTAAATTATATATCAGAGATCAGGACCGGACCGAAAAATTTTTTAAAGCAAAATTTGGACAGGATCGTGCAATTCTGTATTTTTTTTGGTCACCTTATTTTTTTCTGACTTATTTTTAAATAACATTCAGCTTACCTATAGACCCCGAATCGACCACACCATTATCAAATTAATTTTATTGTTCTTATATCCCTAAAGTTAACTTTATTTATTAACAGCTTCCGGTCTCCAAAACTGCCAGAAATTTGTCTCTAACAAAGGGCTCCAAATTCTGCAGCAATTAATCATCAAAGACGGTGCTATGCCACCTACCGAAAGCAAAATTCATGATTTGAGCAGACCAGAACCCTTGGGACCCACTCCAGAAGATTCCATTCAAAAAATCGATATCCTGTGCCGACTGGCAGACATAATAAGCAACGTATGTCAATTTCCTCAATTTGCGCCTCAGATATCTCAGTCCGGTTGGCTCGGTATTTTAGTTCGGTAAGCAACTATGAACATGAAATGAAATGTAAAATTGATTTAGGCCAGTAATATCGTAAATAATGTGTTTATATAAATCTTATAACGAAATCGGTCTGTTTGCCGCAGATTGGTATAAATCTTGTTATCGTCGAAGGGCTCTAAAAATTCCTGCAAAAATATAATCCTTCTAAATTACAAATATATTATGCCTAAAAATTAAAGCACCCCATGTATTTTTTACAACATGAAGAAAGGAAGAAAGAAAAAAAATTTTATTCCTTAAAACGCTCCAACGTACCCCCTGAGGTATTTAAGTATTTTTAGGTAAATCGGGTTTTTTTTGAAAGTTTGTGACCATTTACGTGGCATGCCAAGAATTTCGGGGTTCGGGGGGGGGGGAGGTTAAAAAGTAAATTACATAATATTTTAATAGAATAAAAATTCATGAACAAATTAAATTTGGAGAAATTTCAAAAGGATCTAAACACTTCATTGGACATTAAAAACATAATTGTGAAAATAATGCATTTAAGAGGGTAATATTTAAAGCCAAATCTCCATTATAAGACTTTAAACTAAAAATACAACATATTAGTAATTTGTATTCAGTGCTATCTATCACGGTGGGAATATGGTTCAATACCTTCATTATATTCGTGTGGGTTCGGATTGTATGAATCTATAGAATCATTACCATTTAGGTTACCATCCCACATTCTAACACCCCTTCCCCCCACCCTCCATCCCCTGAAATACAATTACATATATATTTAAATGAATGAAAAAATCAAACACGCTTAAAAAAAGGTCTATTAAGTAACAAATAGGGTTGTTAAAAGTTCGGAGTGATTTTTAGAAACGACCCGATTATGATTGATGCATTCATTAAAAGTGTACATCAATGAAAACAGCTGGGGACGCCATTTTGGTTACCCATATCATTATTAAAATTTTAAACGAGAGACCAATTTATTCCTATGTCTGACGCATATCTTATTAAAGAATTGCTTGATCATCGAGATAATAAGGAAACCAGTTATCAATTTAATAGTAGTTTTTAACATGAGAATAATTATTATATGGGTTACCAAAATGATGGCGGGTCCAGATGATTTGCATTCAACCACTCTTTCATATGCAACATTATAAATGCATCGTCAGTCTACGTATTATTATATTTCATTGGCTATACCCAAGACGAATTAAAGCGTTATTCGATTCATATTTTACTGATATGAAATAACAAAATTATTCTATTTGTAAATTCGAATCTACGAATAAGGAAAATATAATATCCGTCGAATAATTTTTTAATCTATTCGCGATCGAATTATTAGAAATTATTGGTAAATAGTCAAAAATTTATTATTTCATAAATATTTCAAATTACTGTTACGGGAATTTGTTATTTATTTTTTTTGTAACTTTCTTTGTTTCCCACATTTATAAAATAATCCTATTTTTTTTATTTTTGAAAATATTTTTAATTATTGAAATTAGCATGCAAATATACAATTCGTATTTTTTGTAGAGCTCTAGCGGCAAAAAAAAATGAGCCATGGGATGAGGTAGATAATTTTGTTTAGAGAAATATGTTTTAAAAGAACACACATTTCTAACTAGAATTTGTCAGTGTCTTCAAAGAAAAAAATAGAGGCAAACACGTACAGATATGCGTCACTATCTCTAAAAACTAAAAAAAATAAAGGTACTCCATACCCTTATTAGCCAACTGTTAACCTTCTTGAAGATGTATGAAGGCCAACCCCCCTCCTAATGTTGTAGAAACTTTAATTCAGACCAATTTGTAAGATAGCCAAATCCATTGATGTCATTCGCACAAATTTTATATTTCTTATAACGATATTTGTACATTATACAGCTTCTTATAGTAGGTAATGAATGTGAATATCTCAAATTGAACTGACCATTTTTATATTATTTTACCGCTTTCCGCTAATTCATTCATTTATATAAATACCTAATAATCATCCCATCAATGCACAGCTGAAATAGCGATGAATAAAATACTTAAAACAGCTGTAATAGTTTAAAGTAGCCATTTTTATGATTAGCGGGGAGGGGGGTGCTTCCGTCATAGGATATCCTACAAAGAAGGTGGGATAGGGGGCACTGTTTATTAATCATTATGGAATCGATATATTTATTACTATAATAGTCAAATTTAATTATGCAATCGAAATATATCTGATAAAGATTTAATAATGTATTAAATCTATATTTTAAAAAAAACGAAATATTATCAAATAGTTGGAGTCGAAGCGATAATTTAAGCCTGTCTCTCAGAGCCTTCCGGGCTTTAACTAATCTAGACTTTCCTAACAGTGGTTTAGTTTACCCGGCCGGAGTCTATCTGTGCCACCCGCTGTACAACCCTCAGTTTTCATCTCAAATAATCATGGATTCCTTTCAAAAACCTCTCAAAAAGCCTTCTCTCATCACCCACCTAGAAAATGTATTTCACCATAAAACCGCCACCCCGGGTAAGGGGTTACGAAATCTCAACTCGGGTGAAGATCTTAAACAGGCGGAAGACCCCGGAAAAGGGAAACTTTCGAGTTTTGTAGCTGACGCGTATTTTGTTCACGGATTAATGGGGGACCCCTTCAAAACTTGGAGAAAGGCCGATAGACCGCAAGCCGTTATTGAGACGGAAAAATTGAAAACGGCCAGGCAGCCCTTACCTAACGTAACGCAGATATGTTGGCCAAAGGTTAGTCTCCCACTCATTTACTTAATAGAGCTTTTTATTAGCCGTTTTTTTTTATGTAATATGAATTTTAAAAGGCCTGGGGTTTCACACACCCCACCTGAATAGTAAATGGTTTATGACGTGGAAAATCCATATATTTTATTTAAATTCTGTATTTTTATTTTTAAAATAATTGGAATATATCCAAGAATTTATCCTCATTTTTTTGTCCGAAAGGATTGGTTATCCAAAGACATCCCATCGTTAAGAATAATGCTTCTCAGTTATGAAACCTATTTGAGTGAATGGGCGCCTAAATTCCCTCTAGAACAGGACAAAAGGTCGATTCAAGATAGGAGCGTTGATTTGCTCAATAAAATTGTCATTTCCAGAAAATCCTATTATGGAGATGGTGGGATTGATAGCAAGGATTTTTTCGAGGATTCTAAGATCATCAGAAGGCCCATTATATTCGTAACCCATTCCTTGGGAGGTATTTTATTTTAAAAATTATAATTCTCGTTCATTAACATTTAAAATTGTAAATATTTATTGTTAGTGTCAATGTGTTATTCAACTTCAAATCCCTTTTTTGTTGGCCCTAATCTGATTTTACCGGAGATGTATCGCTGCATGTTCAGAATACCTATCTTATGGATTGTAGGCAATTTTGCCATCTACCTTTTGAGTTATTTATAATTTATGTAAAAAGATCTATGTAAAAACTAATATATATATTATAATTTAGTTCTAAAGTTCATAATATAAATTACCTGAAATTCATAGGGTGTGTAATTCCAAACATGATGGAATACATTTCCGGTAAGATCAGATTTTTACATTTAAAAAAAACGCGCTCAAAAAATGATTTACAGTTGAAAAAATAACACATCGCTAGCATATATATATATATATTATAAATTAGGTTTTTAAAAAATTATTATAAAAATTGTCTGCTTTTTAAAAACTCATTTTGGATACTCAAAAAATCGTCTGCCTTGTGGATTTTTAATGCCCCTTCCACTATTCTTCATATAAATAATTAGGTTTTGGATCCACATGCATAATGAATGAAATACGCTAATTTAATATTACAAAAATAAACTTGTATTAAAAATAATTAAGGTTTATTGATCAAGCAAATGCTCATTAAAGCCCACGAATCAAACAATTCTGAATGGAAGAATATTCTTAAAGATACTTTAGGTGTGGTATTCTATTCTACACCCCATAGGGGAAGCCCCATAGCTAAATACACTTCTCAAGCTCACCCCATATTCTACCCTTCATTGGAAGTCAAACAGTTGCGATTAAGTTATTCATTTTTTTTAAAATTACCTTATTGTTTGCTATTTTGTATGTAACTATCTTATAGAATAATTATAGATACTTATAGGGCATATTTGTATAGTATGATGTTCTTTAAGTGTACAAAGTTGAAGCTTTTAGTTTCCATTTTAAAATGACTTTAATTTCTATTAACTATAATTATTATATGTTACGTTTTTAATATAAGAACTGTCAATATATATATATATATAAGGTTATAATATAATATTCAAATTAATATATCATTTGGAAATAATAATAAGAAAACTAAAATAATCTTGAATAAATTATATTTAAATACAAATATAACAGAAATAATCAGGCGCGTACGCAGGAATTTGGTCTGGGGGGGGGGTAGTAAATTTTTTTAAGAAATATTATTGTTAATTAAAAATATTAAGCATAAATTTATTAGGACTAATAACTTTTCTAATACACAAAACTAATGTGAATTAAAAAATTATATATATAAACCGTCATTGAAGAACTATAAAATAAATGTGAATTATGAATATAACCCACGATATGAATCACTTAAATGACCCAAAATTGAAATTTGAATTTTTTGAGCTTTTAAAATATATAAAGTATAAAAAATTTAAATGTTGGAAATATAAATTAATACACAAAAATTCTTAGGAATGTATTTTGTATGTTTTGAGCTAATTTTTCAATTATCTATCCTTGCTTGGCGTTAAATGCCTTTGAATATTCAAAAGATCCAAATCATTCAATCTACTTTCAGATGTTGTATTTCATAGGTATGTTTTTCACAGACTTGCAGGCCTGGCCCCCGAACTGGACCGTATTTTAATTTTTTTAAATATACCCGGGCCGTGCCCGTAATTTTTAAAAAAAACACCCGGGCTGGGCCTGAAAATTTTTTTAGAAAAAATATCCGGGCCGAGCTGTATATTTTAAAACCAAATATTTGAAATCGCCATTATTAGCTATAAAAATCAAAAATAAATATAATTTATTTTTAAAAAATTCGGGCCGGGCCTGAAAATTTCAAAAAAGCCGGGCCGGAAATTTTTTTTAAAAAGAATATGGGCAGTGTCCTGTAAATGGTACCTCTCCAAGGCTCTGTTATTCTTCTTAAAAAAGAGAATGTTCTCTCATTAGTTTACTAAAAAGCTGCTAATATATATAACCATTTTAATGCATTGGGAGTAAAATCTAAAATGTGTTTTAAATAATGCAAGCATCTATAGCATTTTTTGGGACTGTATCAACCATAGTTAATATTTTAATCATAGTTATTCAGCTAATAAGGCATCATAAGATATTTTAACATCTTCATGATAAAAATCTAACAAATATTTATATTTTTTTTCTATCACCATATGGAAAAAGTTGGGAGAGGGGACATTTGTTTTATAATACTCTTCTAATGATCCTATATTAATGTTTTGACGATGAGCTTGCTTGCTGCAAGTCGAGGGGGACAAATATTAAACACGTATAGCTCTGCTTTTGACTCAACAATTACATATAAAATATGAAATTCTTCATCAACATTAGCTCTAATTTCCTTGAGTTCTAATAAAATGCTCTCCGTTATTCTCATCTTCTTAATCAAGTCAATGTTATGTTTTTGAAAAGTATTACATAAAATAGTTGTATAATTAAATAATACATTCTAATGAGAAAAAAATTTGGAATAAGTATTGAATCCAATAATTTTCTTGCTTCTGATGAAATATTTCTTTCAAGCCATTGTGATATTTCAGTAATAGCATTAATAATCGGCTCTTCTAACTCCATTATAGTTGTTACTGCTTGATGGCGTCGATCTCGTTGGACAAGCTTGCAATTTCTTTCTCCCTATTGGACAAGGAGTTTCAGAGATAATTATTAATTGACTAGAAATTTAGATAAATTACACCACTAAAATTTGAAAATAATAGGTAAATAGGAAAACTTGAAATCGAAATTAATTGATAAAATAACTTAGTCGATGAATGTGATAAATAAATGTAATTAAATATATATATATATGAGATAGGAATAAATATTAACAAATATAAATTAATATTAACAATAATATTTTTGAAAAATATAATCCGGCATCTGCATTTTTTAGCTTGGGGGCGTACGCCAATGGAAATAATAATAATATATCATTATAATCAGGGACTTACAGAAGTATTATTTAAACGGCCCGGCTCGACTCGGATTTGGTAAAAAAATTTCGGCTCTGCCCGGATTAAATTAAAATATAACTATTCGACATTTCACGGATCGTTTTTCAGCGAATATGAAATCCATATATAAATAACTTTTCAAATTATCTTATCTCCCCATTTTGTCGTAAAAGGAGTTAGTTTGAATCACCTCACTTTATATTAGACTGATCGATGGTAATTCCCTTATTTCCTGTTCCTCTCGTAATGTAATTATAGTTTTTTATATATATGAGTTATTTTGCATTCTCCCCCAAACAACATACGTAATTGCCTGAATTTGGAAAACAATGAAAAAGGAGAGATAAAATGATACATCTAGTATAAATTTTTTCCCCTTAAAAAGTGGCATTACTTTTTAAATATTGAATTGAGTGTAACTTTGTTGCTTTTTAATTTGATTGAATATTATCCTAAAATAATGATTAGTTTGAATAATATTTTACTAGGAATGTTTTCTTTGGATCTAAAAAAAATGGAAATAAGAAATATGATAAGTGAACGAATGCAATATATTGATCTATAATAAACAATTTTAAATATATTTCATTTATTTTTAATTTTTATAGATAACAAGCTGTTTCCCCGCAAATAATGACTGGGAATCAGAATTTTCTCCTTTTTTTCGATGATGGATGAATAATAAATTTTACTTTTATTTGATTTTCCTATCTTATGAAATGTTATTCGGAAATTAATATTTTTTTAGATGAGGGGTTATTCTAATATTTTCTATTATTTTTATAAAATATGTTAATGAAGTATATATATGAAACAATGTCTCTTATTATCACTCCAAATACTAACATTATCCACCAGAGCTCCTGTTAGTCAGCATTTCTGTTCACTCCCCACCGCGTGAAGATGGGAGATGGATTTTAGGGGAGCAAAGAGATAAAAAAAAGAATGAATAAAAGAAGGAAGAAATAAAAAAAAAAGAGACAAAGATGAATTATAAGAAATCTAATAATTGTTTATACTTCAAGACTTGAAGATTATCGGGTTCCAACACATATGCATTTGTAGCCATATTAAAAATATAATATAATAAAATTTATAATATCAAAAATTTTATCAAAAAAGGAGGTTTAAGATAATTTCGACATTTAGAGGGATGTAAGATATTTTTTGATGATGATTTTCTTCTGCTCGAAGTTTGCCAACATATATACTGTTGTTGATAATGAAGATTGGTGGTCGTGTATTAGATGGCGAAGAAGCTGTCTATTCTTTGCTCGATATGGCTTCGTTTTTGATGATGATGATGTTGTGATTTCCTTGCTCGTAGTTTGCCGTATATAAACCTGAATTAAAACTTGTAAAATTTAAAAATAGAAAATAGAAATTTACTATTGTCGATGATGAAGATGGTATCGTGTCGTTGTCTTCAATTCCCATTCGAGTACAGTATTGTATCGTATTTTTATATAATTACCTAAAATTAACCATCAAATTGAAAAGTAGTATTAGTAAGAAATCAGGAGAGTACTGGAAAATCTTTGGACAGCTCAAATTAATTTTAATGTGAAAATATAATACCGTTAGCCATTTTTTAAAAAAAATTTTTATCAACAAACTTTTTCAATATGACTGCATTCGATTACAACACGGTAATATAAATAATTTGTAAATCAATAATTATTTTCTACAATTTTGCTCAATTACATTTTCAAACGTAGATATTTTTAATTGGGAAAAAATCAGTTTAAATATAATATCTTATGTTTTAATTATGCTTAATAATTAAGAAAATATAAAATTATATAAAGAAAGAAAACAATATATTTGACATCAATAAAGATAAAAACATTAACATTTCTACTTTTAAATAAACTTTTATATTATAGATGGCGCTAAATAATATATAAACTAAAATTACAATTTAAGATTTAGATTCTTCAGAATTTGTTAATATTAGGTACACCTAATTAAGAATTACCACCAATCTAACAGGACAAACTTTCAATAATTAAAAATATATATTGAATATTTCATAATTTAATAGCAAAAATGTAATTGACTATGATTTTAACTAATTTATATGTTATAATAATAACCTGTATATATATAATACCTGTAACCAAGAAATGAACGTTTTCGTATAATCTTTCTTATATATGAAATTATGTTTTGATAAATTAACATTTAATTTTTAATTAACTTAATTTAATTATATCAATATTATTTTTTCTTTTTGGATTTATTAAACTCCTATACTATTGGTTTTAATTTATTTTCTTTCTTTTTTTATTGGATAATGTAAAATATTAATTTTCCCAATAATTAATATCAGAGACGCAGAGGTACCATTTGTACAACCCGGCCCAGATTAGAAAATTTTCGGCCCGGCCCGGATTTTTTTTTTAAAATTTTTTACGGCCTGGCCCGGCCCGGGTTTAAAAATTTTAGGCCCGGTCCGGATATTTAAAACAAATTTTAACCCGGCCCAGCCTGGATTTTTTTTTAAAAAAAAATTTTTTTAGGCCCGGCTCGGAATTTTTAAAAATTATATTCGACCTGGTATATAATACAAAAAATAGATTATTTCGTATATTATCATATTTTTCGGCGAATATTATCATTTAATAAGCAATTATATTTGAACATATTTTATTTTTTTTAATCTAAACAGATATTTAGTATATTACAAATTGATACTATAAAAAATTTGTGTAAATTATATTTTGAGAATATACTATGTATTTATAAAAAAAATAAAAATGATATTTTAATTAATAAAAAATATAACATATATTATATATTATATAATGTATTTAATCCTTTGCGTATTTATTCCATGGCAGGAAAACTATAATTTTATTATGTAATAGATACTATGAGTGTTAGCTAGTGTTAACTTTCACCAAACATTATATTAATCATAACTATATATAATCATTATAACCATATCTAATTGACGAATATAATAATTTATGTTGTATAAATTTTTTAAAAAAATACGGCCCGGCCCGGGTATTTTTAAAAAAAAAATTTTCAGGCCCGGCCCGGGTTTTTAAAAAAAAAATTTTTCAGGCCCGGCCCAACCCGGGTATATTTTAAAAATTTTAAAGCCTGCAGGTCTCTGATTAATATTAACAAATTTTTAATTTACTCGACCATTTTTTAAAAATCTTTTATTTAATCCTATTTACACTAATAATAAATTATAAGGAAATGTCAATTTTTATATTAACTATAGATTATCCAACACCCACTTCTTTATTAAGTTAAATAAAACGAACCATCTTCCTAGCATCATATATCAACAAATCTAAATGAAAAAATAATAGTTACTTTCAATAACAGAAAGTTGTTGAATGACCTAACCAACAAAAGGGAAACAATAAAATTATTATATATATATAATTTCTATCTTTTATAAATAATAATTTTGTCTTTAAAAATAAATTCCTAAAAATTATTTAATTTTAAATATTTTAGCAAACACAAAAAATAAACAATATATATTTATAATATTTTTCTTTATTTGATAATTTTACTACATGACTTCAGATGATATAAATTTAAAAACATGGGATTCTGAAGGAGATGACATCATGTCATGAAGGTATTTAAATATCAATAACAACAAAAAATATCACTTATTCCAAAAGTTTATTATTATATCATTTTTTCTTAAATTTTCTTTATAAAGCCTTCGATTAATAAATTATACATAAATTACCTCTAAATCTATTAAATAAAGCTTATTTTAAATCAGAATAAATTATTTACTAGAGTAAATATATTTTATTAAACAATCATTAATATTATTGCAGTGTCCATATGCTATTAAAACTTGAGTTCCTACATCAAATCTAACTTATTACTGTCCTCTCACGGCAATTTTAAATTTTATATTAATTATTTCATATTAATTATTAGTGCTTAGTTAAATTAAAATATAAACTAATTCTTCTTTAAAAAAAATAAAAATCAAGATAATATAACCAGTACATCATTTTTTCTATAATTTTAAGTGTTTTGTAAACCAATTTGATATTATTTTATCAACAACAAAAAAAAATTTTTCAATTAAGACATCCGATAATTATAGTTTGCAACAAAAATTTAGAAATTATTAGTAATACCGTAATTTATTTAAATATATTATTACTCAATTATTTAGAATATTTTTTTTTTGTGAAATAGGTAATTATATCTTTAGATTTAATAATAGAGGAAGTATCAAACCTACATAATATGATCTGGGTATATTTAAAATAATAAAAAAATACAGCCGATAGGTCTCAGATTATATTATTATCATAAAACCTTAATTTTAGCTTTCACCTTTTTATGGTTTTGTTTTGACATTTTTTTTTTGCCCGATTAAGTAAATATTTTCTGGATAAAGGTGGTGTGTCATTGAAATATGCATCTTTACGCTGGCACTGATCTAAAAACAAAATATATAAAATTAAATTTATTAATATTATTCTTTTTGTTAGATAATCCAGATTTGCTGACGTTAAACGAAAAGTTTCTCGAACTAATCAAAGCGTACGGCATATCTTGTTTAAGCTTCGGCGAAACGCGGAATATCAACGTCAATTCCTACATTAAAATGATGATAGTTCCACTGACATCTTCAAGTTTTAACAAAAAAATTTTCCTTCTTTTTTGTTATTATATTACATATATCGTATTTTTTTTTGGAAGAAAGAATTTCCATTAATTTACTAGTGTTGTACCGATTTTTTGCCTATCAACCTCTTAATGGTTTACGGTGCAGATATGCACCAGGCTAGATTTTCTATTTAGTATTATTTTTTTGGCTTTGAGCATTTATCAATATAATTTTAAAAAAAATGAGCATTTTTATCCACTAGAAAATTTTGACCATTAATGGGTTAAAGAAAATATAGGACCCATTAAGCATTTTCAATAAATTCGATAACCTATTTCAATAGTTATTTTTTTAAACATTAATTATCCTTAATGCTGATATTTTATAACCTTTTTAAACATAATTTTATGATGGATATTGTAGTGTAAAAGGCTACATCTTTTACGAGCATTAAGATTGCGCTAAATCAAAATTTTTATTCGCGAACATAAAAAAATGTTGATAAAAGGAAACCGGGGTTAAACGGTCGATATATTCCATATTTGATCTTAGAAATATTTTGAGAAAAACAAAAAAAAAACAAAACGAAAGATAGATTAGTGTGTAGTCCGATCACTCACCTATAAAATAAAAAAAAGAGTAGCTCCCTAGTCCCTACCTATAATACTTTCAGAGCTGTGATTGATTATGTGAAGTCCACTATTTTTGGCATTCTACCCTATTCCCAGGGTAAAATGGCTGAATACCAGAACAACCCTGCATAGCGCGAATCCGCCATAAAGTATACAAAAAATGAATGTAAAATTATTATTTTTGTATACATCCGCGACGAATTATAAAAAATACGCTTGTATTTTTGTATTCTCCTTTGGGAATTCCCGCCAAATGAAAGTAGGGTTACCCTGCATACACAATTAGCACGAATTGGTGCCGAAGTGTACAATATGCTCTAAATTTTTTTTAACAAAAAGTTTTAAAACTTCAAAATCGTACGCGAATTTTTTGAAATTTTTTAGAATTATATTTTGTACATGTTTTTTTTAAAATTATTTCTTTCTTTTTGATAAAGTTTTAAATGTTTTTGCGAATCTAATTTTTCGATATGTTGGACAGAACCTTAAGCAACATGTGTACAAATTTTTTAAGTCATTAGGGTTAAATCTATTTTATTAAAATAGAAAAAGAAAATACTAGTAGGTAATTTTTATAATTTAAGGGCATAAAAATGGTTTTTTTGGATAAAATTTATAAAACCAAAAATTATTCTCCAAACGATGAATTATACATAAAAAATACATTTTCACATATAAGTTAAGGGCTCAGGAGTGGTAAGTTATTTTACCGCTTTCCACGGATCTTCCCTACATATGGATTTGGATTTTATTGCGTGGAGATATGCCATGTCCCTTTTTAAATTCAAGTCTTCATCATTGGCTTGGGAGGAGGGGAAATTTTGTCTAAAAATTATTAAAAAAAATGGAAAAATACGTAAGTGCGCTACCCCCCCCCCCGCCATAACGACATCGCTGATTTTCATACTTTACTCTAATTTAAATGTCTGAATCTTATATATTTAGATTTGGGTTCAGGACAATTTTACGAACTGCCTTCCAATCACTTATACGTTTGCAAGCCTCATACCAAATCTAGCCCTCAATACAGTATTTTAATAGATTTTTTTCAGGATACCTTGACCCGCCACCAAGAGCGGATGTTAGCTCTCAGGGAGGATTTGGAGCCGGGATCGCTTATGCCAAAAATCATCTCCAACTTATTTGTCCGCGAGGAAACTATCAAAAAATTTCTGAGATACAACCATAAATGCAATAAAATTAACAAGGATTACAGATTACTTTTTCCTTTATTTTAAATATGCTCTATTATATTTTAATGTTTATATTTTAAAGAAATAACTATGAATATTAATTAAGTCGTCATTATAAGTCGTTATATAGATCTCATTTCCATCATAATCTTTACTACTATTTTGAATATATGTAATTTATTGTGCTTTATTGAGCGCTTATTGCTTGGCGAATATCTCAATTTATATCAACCCAACTTTCTTATACAACTCGAATCATTAAATAGTCATTGCGATCATGCCTATTGAATTATATATCTTTTAAAAATTTTTACTTAGGATTTAACGCAAACCATATTCCATATTTTGAAATACAAGTCATAATAAAATTATACCTATTATATTTATATCATATCTAGTCATTTAATTTAGCCATCTAAAAAAAAATGGTTTATATTTATACAAAGAAATCGTATCTTATATTTTCCTCATAATATATACTTTTTAAAATTAAATGATCTTATCTTTTAGATTTGTTATTTAATTTAATTTTTTTTTTATTCATGTTGTAACGGATTTGGATATTCATGATTTGGTGGGATGGATGAGGAGAATTGGATTTAAAATGAACTCCACCCAGGACCAGTTTGCACCGATCTCCAATTTAAAAAAAATGTCGGCCAATCAGATCTTTTCTAGAAACAAAAATGGAATCTAGTTGTTTTATCTGCATCCGGTCTAGGTTTCTAGAATGAATCTTAATTCAGTCTAATTTTTTTTTCGAGCTTAGACCTTAACTAAATTTAATTAAAAGTTAATGAGTATTAGTATTTATATTTTGTAGTCTAATAGAGGCAAATACATTACATTTCTTATTTCGCATTTGAATACAGAGAAAAAAATACAGTTAAACTTGTCTAATTATTACACCGGTAGGACCAAATTTTTGCCCATAGATAGTTGTCAAATCGATCAAGGTTTTTTTTTTGAAGAAAGAATTCATTTTCCCATCTACTATATTTTTAGAGCATAATGTGAGATTATGTTTAACCATTTTTAAATAATTTTTTCTATTTTTATTAATTAATTCAATCAAAATCATGCATGAGTAAAATTAATGGAATACATTCCTAGGAAAATCAAATTTTTAAATTTAAAAAAAAACGCGCTAAAAAAAGATTTATAGTTGACAAAAATAATAGTGCGTACAAATTGAACGTTTCAACGCAGGGTTTCAAAACGCAAATAATGTATTTTAAATGCATTCGTTTAATTGGAAAGTCTTTATTTTTTGTTTTAAATTTAGACGTTTCATATTAAAAAAAATTTAAATTAACGCTTCAATTTTAACATAGCTGCATATACGTTTTTTTTGCTTTTTGAAACGCTGCATTGAAACATTCAATTTGTGCGTACTGCAAAACACATTCCCGCTAACATATCATATACATACATTATACAAAATATTGGTTAAAAGATTGAATAATCGGATAATGATAAAGATGATAGAAGAATATAATTATGACGGCGTATAAAAAAACGAATAGAAAAATACTTGGATTAGTGACATCGAGTCTACCTGAGAGAAATGGGATTATGCTTGGGTGACCTAAATGAGCATGTGAGAGAATAGTGAGTCGTAGGAATTCTGGGTAATTTCGTTTTGCATAAAAATTCCTGAAGGCAAGAGCATTCTAGATTTCGGTGATATTCTCTAAATGGTTGTTGTTCACTCTTTACAAAGGAAGCAAAGAAGCTGGTGACTAAAAATCAGGGGTGATACAACTGTAGACTATTTGTTTGAGAGAAGTGATAGGTGTGTAATAATAAATCTACTGCGAAAAGTGGAGCAACAACATCTTGCTATATATCTAATTTTCAACGGCCCGTGGATCATAAAATGTGTGCTAAGGATTTAAAGTTTGGAGGTCCTTGAAGTTGGCTAAACGACTTGAGGATCAAATTCTGAAATGTATTCCAATATTTATTGCATTATAAATTTTATATGGGTAACCATTGCTAGAGTTTTAAAACCAAATTACCGTCAAGTATTAAAGTATAAACATAATATTTTATCAGAATTCATATCTATTTCTTTTTTTTAGACATATTCCAAAGATCTCAAGACCTTGCTCATTGGTATACTTAACTCGGCAAAGGCTATGTGGCATAACTAAAATCCTACTTCCATGTTGACATCTCACAGTTTTATAAAATTTGCCTTGAAACTGAGTGTGATTATTTTGCCAAATTACCCAGGATATGATAGAAATTTAAATATTGAAAAATTTATTTACTTTTTAACATATTATTCGTAAATTTCATGGATATAATTCAATTTTTGAACTAAATTATTTTTTAAAACAAGATTTTTTTTAAAAAAACTATCATATAAAAAATGAATACCGCTCTGTAAATCGACTTATATTTTTAAGAAAAATATCTATAAAATTCAGTAAAAAAAAATTCTAATCTTTGACTATTTCTTAATTCAGAGCAATTAAAGGAAAAATATTCTTAGCTTTTCAATTTTTATTCTGAGGGAAATAATATGAAACTAAATTATATATTAATTTTAAGAATTTTTATGTAATTTGAAAGATTTATTCTTTCAAAAAAAAATTAAACATGATATAAATTCAGACTTTTCTATATTATTTTTAAGATAATGTATTTGAAAGAAAAGTTATCGAATCACTCGAACAAACAATTCGCTTAAATATAAAGAACCATGAATAATCATTATTTGCAGACTGATCGAAGATGTCACGGGATTAATTTTTTTTATAAATTGTAACAAAATTTTATCTAATTTTTTTAAAAATATTTACCCAATTTCCAAGAAAAAGTAAAAATATGGCATTTGGAAAGAGAAAGTAAGTTGCATCAATCTTCTAAAATTAAAATATATTTCCAGGTTACCCTTTAAACATATATTTAATTTAAAATCACGCAAGCTTTCACTATTAATTACCTTGTCATTAAACGATTACAACATGTGAAGTAGAAACTTTATCTCTATGTATTTCCGATCAAACAACGCCGCATTTTTTAAGGATGACAATTTGTATGAAATTTTAACAAAATAAATATCCTAAATTCCATCACATTATCAAAATAGTCTTTTAGCCATCCCCTGGAAAAATCATTGCCTACGTTAGAATTTTACGGACAAAATGGGAAATTATAATTGTAAATAGATCATTTTATCCTTCAATTTTGGATAAGATAGCTGGAAAAAATCCTTTATAAATTTGGCTTTAATTAATGTTTAATATCAATATTTACTTATCTTTTTACCTTATTTCCTATACTATTTTTAAAAAAAAGTAATATAAAAATAATTTGCGAGATATCTATAATAGAAAAAATTGGTTAAGGACCAAAAAAATTTTGGATTCGATATTTGTTTAATTAAATATTTAGCCAAATGAAGAAGCATTTTCATTAACAAATCGCGAAAAATAATTTCATTTTTTAAAAAAAACAACTATTAAACGATTAAAATATTTTTTTTACTAACATTTTAAAAATGAAAATACTACTCCTTCTAAGTTTCGTATTAATGATTCTGGTTTCGATCGTGCATATGCGCGGACACAAATCTCATGGGCACAAAGAATTAGGTATATAATCTCTATTACTTATATTTTATCTTTTATCCTTATAATCTAATGTACAATATTATATTTAATAGTCCAATCAACCCCAAGAACGTTCTCAGAAATATATGCCATATTTTAGAGAAGCATGGGAACTATATTATTAATTTAAATATTATATAGAATACGGTCCTTAGAGTTCCATAACGTATAACACTTTGAGGAGTTATCGAAAAATGCTTGGGGATCGGGAACGTTTTAAATTTATTTATGGAAAATGCTTAAATGGAAACAACTTTCTTTAATCTGGAACAAAACGGGGAACTGGAACGAGCAGAAAAAGGGAAAAGGCTTTTGTTCCGAATCCTTATATTTTATTTTTTTATTTTCATAGATAATGATCGTAGTCACTATAGTCGACATGGTGGTTAATAATGGTCGCGGCGGACATAATTCTACTCAAGGCGATAGTGTTCATCGTGCAGGACGAGATCATGGTCGAGTTGGTCGTCATCGTAGTTAAAGTGATGTAGTCGCCTTGGCTCACGTGTTAGTTCCATTGCTTAATTAAAGACGGATGGATTTAATAAAATTTAAAAATATATGCCATATAGTTTGTAGTTTATTATTTACACAAAAATTTATTAATATCTTTATTGTAGATTATTAAAATGTTATATTGGTCGCCGGGGTGGCCTAGTGGGTTTATACAGTATACTAAAACAGAAGGTTCCAGGTTCAATACTGGTAATGAAAGTAAAAATTATTTGCTTTTTTTCAATGACTAAGGTGTAGTAAAGACATATGATAGGATGAATTACTAACCTGAGAAATGCCACCCCGGTCACCGATAGACTTGGACAGCCGGGTGCTAGGATACTTGTCCAATTAACCAAAATAAAAGATGGCCAGCTGACCTCGTGGGTTACTCAAAGATGATAGCGGTCTCTTGACCAGCTCTAGTATAATGGTGACTTTGGGGGCCGTTCAAGCACAATGTCTACCAATCTACAATGGACTTGATAGCGATACTCCAGTGGGAGATCCATCGAGATTGATACCCTGATGGGAGATGAAGCTTACAATGGAATCGATAAGAATACTCGGTGGGATATCTGTCGATATTGATACTTCGGTGTGAGGAATACTCCGGTGGGATATCTGCCGATATTGATACTTTTGTGTGAGATCATACAATAGCCGCGATAGAGATACTCAGGTGGAAGATCTAAATGGAATCGATAAAAACTCAGGTGGGGGATATCAGAAATATAAATTAGATGACTAATAAAGTGAGAGAGATATTGAAGGAGCTTACCACCAGAAAAAAGGTGAAAGCTAAAAAGGAAAAAATTAAAATGTTATATTGATTAATCATATTTTTTAAATATAATATTAATTCCCTGGAAGAACCAATCAAACGCAATCCAAATCATATATTTAAAATCTAGGGGTTTTCAAAATAATACTATATGTTTGTGTAAATTATTATAGTTATAAAAATATTTCATATATCATTTGTAATATTTTATGAATATATATATTTAAGCGTATGCTTGATATTTTTGTAAGGAAAAATAATTTGGCAAATTGAATCTGCAAATTCATCCTATTAAATATTTTCCGATAAATTCTAATAAAATCTAATCATGTTTAAATGATTACATATTTTCTTATATATATTTGAAAAATTGTAGGAAGGTGTGATAATGTATATTTAATTAGAATAGTTTTTTTTATATTGTAATATAATATTCTGAAATATAATATAAATTGGTTTAAAAATTACATCTTATTTTTATTCAATAAAAGAAATTAGTTAAAATGGTCAAATATATCTTTTTAATATTAATTTATAAATTTTTATAAAAATATCTATAACAGGTTAATATTCTTTTCATTTCGGAAAATAAATAATAATCACTTTTTGAATTGAATTTTTGTTTCAAAAAATTATAACTTATTATTTTAACATTAAATAATTAGAAGAAGAATAAAATATAGTATAAAAGTTAGGGAAGTATATTTATCCCATAGTTAAGAACCGTTAAAATATTTGTCAATGCATAAGAACCGGTTTTTTTAACTTTTTGATATTTTAACTCTTTTAAAGATGATTAATATTGCTTTGACGGATAAATCAGAATTTATTTTATATAATTTTGTATTTTACTATTTGACTGTGCCAACTACCTAAGTTAGCAAAAGGGTTCTCAATCATAAAATTTTATCTTTCCCCCCTATAGATATAATTTGACAGAAGAGATTCTTGAAGATATTTAGATTGTAAATAGCGAAATACTATTTTTTAGAGAATAGAAAAAAAAATTGTCTACATAATTCTAATACACTTGTATGTGAAAAAGGTTGAACCGGTTTTAAAGATTTAAACCGAACTGATATTATTATTTTGAACTGAATCTCAACCATGAAGCTTTATTTTTATCTGAACTTAAACCTGAACTGAACCGATATTCCTTAGGATTTGGATCCCTGTAATGGAATATAATAAAGCTGATAAAATTTGCTCTAATTATAGTCATGGCAATTTCTTGTTAAAAGTAATATCCTTGTTTGAATTATCTATCTAAGAACTATGGTAGAAATTTTTGAAAAAGGCTAAAGTGTGGGATTATAAATAAGTTAACTTAGTGGCCATGATCTGTTTGAATAAATAGTGCGGCAGATTTTCCTAGTTCTGCATTGGCTAAAGTATCTTGGCTTAGGTTAGAAAGTGTGAGTGTATTCACGCAAGAGAAATCCTAGGTTAGAACTTCATTACTCTTTCATGAAACTTAAGATGAACCATTAAAACCTTTACAACTTATATTGCAAACCCCAAAGAAAATTTTAAAGAAATAGTGTCATTGCATTTAGCATGCGATCGAAATCTGCCTGATCATTTGCAGTGAAGGGGAACATTTGAGGTAACAATTTGACATAGGGTCTATGAGTATTGTCCATAAGTTTGAGTGGGATGGCATGATGAAATCTATTGCTTGTAAATAATAGCTGATGCTAATTTGAAGGAATGAGTCCTATGAATTTATAACTGTTTTAGGAAGTGGAAAAGAGAAGAAAATGTGCCACAGGTTTTCTGAGACCCCCCCCCCTTAACTACGCTACTGTATGGAATAATGTAAATCCCAATCTCTTTGTAGAAGAATTGATGGGATTTAGTTAAGGTTAATTAGAGTAAAATATCCCGGTAAGTATTTAATTTCTAACTAGTGTGGTTAATTAGTTGGTTTTACACGACCAATACCCTTTTTTTGGTTGAAAAATGAACCAGAACCAACCTAAAAAATGGGTCGACCAAATCCATAAACCAGAGCATCTACCCGAGCACGACCCGATCACCAACCCGAATACCGACCCGAACACCGAATCGAACACCGACCCACGCACCACCTCCTAGCCAACTTAATATATTATTTTATTGTTACTACTTTACTCAATCATATTTTTATGTATAGAGGACGAATATTTCATTATTAGCATAGAAATATTAAAAATTGTTCTCTTTTTATAATCTGAAATTAAAAGGACAAGTAATTCAATTCCATATTAATTAAATAATTAATATCGAATTCGAAATTATTTTTTAAGACCGGGAAAAATTTATTATAGGAATTTATCGATATTTATAATTCATGTATCATCAAAAAATGAGGGTAATATATGATTATTTAATTAATAACTTCTGGGATCTGTCCTAAAGTTGTAAAAATTAGTCTCAAATCGATTAGGTAAATTGACTCAGGAGTTGGCTCTGGTTGTCTCAATAGTTGGCCCGACTTTAATTTTGAGCCAAAATGTATTTGTTTAGCTCTAATTCGATAATGGATATTACAAAAAAAAATAATTGCTCAATATATAGGCAAAAATTGCCTTCCCATCAAAAATTTTTACAATTAAAAATATTTCATTCAGGAACCTGTATTATATACCCTTGAGTAGTTATAAGCTGATCCTTGTTCGCAAGTATCGATGAAAAGATCCTTCCGTGCACTTCGATTTCAAACTTTTTAAATCTTCTAAAATTAATTAAAAACAGATGGCATGTACATCATAATAATATATTAAAATAAAACAATATATTTTAAATACATAAATATGACAAATATATATTTAAATTTATTTAAGTAAATATAAGTATTTATTTATATAATTCATCTCCTATCGCCATCCCAAAACTATAGTGCTAGGCATTTTTTCAGCGTATTAGAATCGGATTCCTTTTTTTGTAATCCTATCTCCAGCACGTGGAGAATACTCGCTCGCTAGGGACAGATGTTGTTTTTTGTGCCAGATAATCCCTCGCCATTTGTGATAGGCATGGAAATCGAGCTTGGGTTCCTCTCCAACAATCTAAAGCATTAACATTTTCAGGACAAACTGGTTCGCCTATTTTCGCCGATTTCATTATCAAAATCACCCACCCTTCGATTTTCTTTATAGATGTCATAAAAAAATTATTTAATATATAATTTAATTTGTATACTTTTTTAATTTATGCAAAATGGACACAGATGTCAGATTATTCGGCTTTCTCTCATCATCGATAAATAAGTTGTCTCAGTAAAGTTTTAAGATCTTCAAATCATTTTGGATGTCGATATTTATTGGAATTAAGGATTTTTTGATCCTTGGGTCTAAAAATGAACAGACATAATTAGCAAAATTTGCCACTTTTCCTATATATTCATCGCATTTAAGCAGCATTTTAGATGCTGCTGTGTTTATTTTTTTTCACTCGTTCTTTGTAGCATATGTTAAATTTTCGTGAATAAAATTTAAAAATAAGTTCGCCATCCCAAAAGTTGGAGATTGTGAACTCTTTATTTTATAAAAGGGACTCATAAATTCTTCGAGATCTCTTAATAGTCGGCGTAAATCCTTTTTAATGACAAACCTATGCTTCCCTAAAGATGATTGTCCTAACTTAATAATTGGCTCAATATTCTGTATTAAATAAATATATTAATGTATGCAATGATATAAAATTTAATACTTTGTAAAAAATAATACCATATTTACAGTATCTATCATTATATATGTGCTATTCCAGCGTGCAGCTACGTCCAAGGGAATTTTAGAACCTCTATTTATCTTGTTACTCTTCCATTAATTTTTTCAAGGTATAAAATTTGTTGACTAGGTTATGAATTATCTCCAATTTATTTGATATAAACCCTAGTCCTTCTTGTACTATAAATTGATACCATGTGCAAAACAATGATGGTTGTGCAAGTCTGTTTTATATAAAAATTAATTTCTCTTTCAGAATATTAATACCATAACAACACTTTTAGCATTTTCATAAGTAATAGCTAATACAGTGGCGTATCCAGGATTTTCCTATAGGGGGGGGGGGGAAATTTTTTTTGGGGGCTTTGCCTCCAACCCCCCTTTGGCCAGCTTTTTTCTCACCTTCGGCCGGGTCATATCTTTGATCTATTCTTTTAAATTATTCATAATTCAATAATAATTATATTAATATTTTTAATTTTTATTTGAATTTTGGTTCCTTTTATAAATAAATTATTTAAGAAATTTTTTTTTTAATTTTTAAATTTAACATTTATTAATAAAGACAAATTAAATCTGACAAAATGATAGTATAAAAATAAAATCATGTCCAAAACATAATTCTAGAAAATTCAAGAAATTTAACAAACAAGGACTTCATAATACAAAGTATAATAATAGATATAATAGAAATATAATAAATGCAAATGATTATATGAAGAAGAAGGGGGGGGGTTTAAATAATTTAGGGAAGAAGAAGAAAATCTAGATTAATCGGCTCCTCGGGGAATGAACCTATGGCGTGTAAAATTAGATTTTATAATCTGAATTCCTATGCGTTGACGTAAGTAGTCGCTTTCTTTTGGGTCTCCTGATTACTAATTAGCGCTTATGAATATAAGAAGAAATAAAAGTTATAACCCACTTTTTATTTTGTTAGGTATATTATAGATAAATTTTTTTTTAAAAAATATAAATTAAAATAAAGTTTAGTGTCAAATTTTTTTTTATAAAATTTGCTTTAAAAACTAGCCTCAGCTTAAATTCTCATATAATATAAATATAAAATTTTTTTGATTGAAAATTCTAATTGTAGTGAGTATAAAATATTGACTAGAAAATTTTTTAAAGAACAAGTTTTTATAACTTATTAAATACAATATTATATAAAAAATTTATTAAATACTAGAATTATAATGCGATTTTTAATTTTCGTGGGAATTTTTCCAATTCATCAAGAATTTTCTTTGTCGTTGGAAATAAATCTCTGTGGATATTTAACATAGCTAACCCATTTAGCCGAGAAGTAGTATTTTGTAAATAAGTTTTCAACCTTCTCAATTTGAAAAAGGTCCTTTCATTCGTATATGTTGTAATAGGCAAACATGCAAGAACTTTCAAAATAAATTAAGCC